ATTTTATTTTGTGTAAAATGTTTTGTGCAATGGTTAGATTTTTTAATTGGAAATTTTCGTTGTATAACTCATCTGAATTCAAAAATACAGTATTCTAAGAAATAAACAATATCTTTTATTTTGACAGTATTTAAGAACTCTGAATAAAACAGATTGAAGTAGTGGGTCTTTGGTAAGTCACAATTAAAGCCAAAAGAGGAAAGTGATAACTGTTCAATTAAATTTTTTCTGGAGTTTCTGTTTTATTGGAAAAACATTTACGTTATTTTTGGAGATTCTTTTTAGAGGAAAGTTGGTTTTAGTGTTTCAAGAAGAAAGCAGAAGCGACTAACAGAGATTCTGCAAGAAGACAAGATAGTAAGTGTAGCGGTAGAGTCAATTTTTTTGAAAAAAGGATACCTGAAGTTTTGTCGATGAAAGCTGATTTTCATACACTGGTTAAGAGGAGACTGTTGGCAGCTCTTATTAAATTTCCTCAGAAGACGAAAGGCTATCTTCACTTAATTTGGAGGAGGCATTGGAGGCTCTCAAAAACCAGAAGTTTAATCTAGTTTAATCAACCAAATGAAGTAAAACTAGATGAGTTCCTAATAAGAGTTGGATAGCATTTTACATCTTTACACTTTTCAGTCAAATAATTTATTTTGCTTCTTGAATACTTAGCTTTGATTCTGTGGAAATTAAATTTACCGTTATTATGTTTATTGAATGACAATTCTGAATAGTTTTAACGTACATTTGTGAGTACAAAAATCTGAAAAACCTTTCTTGATAATTTTTTTGTTTGATGGAGAAAAGAGAAGTTACATTTCTAGATACTTTTTTTTTACAGATTAAACTATTACTTTCTAGTCGTTAGTGAGGAGAGACCTTTTGGATAGAAGTTACGAAAACTTATCGCGTGGGGTAAAATCTAATTCTCGAAATTTATTTTTTAATTAACTGAAAAAGATTGTAGAACCAAAGAATTTGAAAGTATCATCGAAGGAACCTTTGATACAAGTTTTTGCGTGTTTTTATTCATTATATGGTTGTTAAAAGTCGTGGCGTAAACTTCGTCTATTTAAGTACCAAAAAGATTTTAGTAAAGTAATTATTTTAGTAATATTTTGCACGGTTTTATTACCGCTTATCAGAATACCAGAGAAAACAGTATTGGTGTGAAACCCATGGCGTATTCAGCAAGCCAAATCAGGTGGACATCGGTTGATGGAGCAAAAAGTTTTATTGAAAGGTCAACAGCAAACGGGTACAACGAAATGACCGGACGGCCATTGAGCGTCGTGGAACGAAGAGCATTTTTTGAACAGCTCCATGCTGCTGCCGTCAGCAGAGCCTTACCGCTTGCAACATTCAAGGTTTATTTTTGATTTTGTTCGGCTGAGCTAACCTTGGGAACAGATGGTTTCCAACAATTCGTCATTGCCCACCAAAATGTTGGTGGACCTGTTAGATAGCATATCTATCCTAATCGCTGAATTAGTTCAGTACTGTAATCTGTTGGTCAAGCAAATTGCAAATTTGACAAAGGTACAGCTGAAGCTAATCAATCATTGGCTAATTGTTGAGGATGATGATATCGCTGAGGTAAACACCGGTTTTTTTCTTTTCTTTATTTTGGGGGCCTAATTATAGAATATACCGCATAATTCTGTGTTCCAGCTGCTGAAATTGTTATTTCAAGAATGTTTTTCTTCTTCAGTTATTCAGATTTTGTTTTTTCTAGTTGCTTTATTGTCCTGAAAGAAACTGTTTTGGACTCTAAGTCTTTATTTCTTAACAGGCAGCATCTTTTATTAAAAATTTTGTTCACTGGGACAAACAGTCACATTTTGCTTAGTTTCTTCACAATTTGATTGACAAGCAATGCTTGTGATATAGAAAGGCGAAGGCTCACTCAGTACCAAACTACATTTGTTTGCCTTTTCGCCTAAAAGAAAGATTCAGTTTTCCTCTATGACTGTGGTTAGTGAGTCTGATAAATGATCTGCGGAATGAAAGCTTTTTGTTATTGCCAGCGGGTAGATTTGCAATAAAGAACACCTTTTATTGGCTGTAACAATCGTTCTTACTTTGTGCTTGGCAGTCATTCCTATCCCTTCTGACACTGATACTGATTTTGTATTAGACATTTCGAAAATGAACACCATTTGTGATGTCAGCCCCCAATCGCAAGTTCCCTCCTAGCACTTGAACCGTTTTAGAGTTTTTTTTTTTGAAGATCATTCAGTTTTTAGGGTTATATTATAATTTTATCAAAGTTACCAAAGTAATTATCTGAAAACAAAAGGTTGTTTATTTTTTAGCGAAATGAATGGAGAAGTAACAAAAATATCATTAGTCAAAAAACAAGGATTTGTTGAGAAAAAAGGGCTATTCTTATTCACTACAACAAAAAAAAAGCTAAATAAAGTAATAAGGCTACTGTTAATTTGGAATATAGTAGTCGGTGGAGTAGAGCATGGATATTCTTAATCCTTAACAATCTTGAAACATCTGACTCCGTTATGTTTTCTCTTTAAATTGTTTGTTCTTTTCAGGGTATGAAAGAAGACTCAGACTTGCAGGAATTTAAAACTCCAGAAAGTTTGTTGACACCGACGACACCAAGCTTTAAAAGTGAAGAGGCTGCAAATGGCGTCTTACCTTACGACGAGCAGTCTTTAAATTTTGAGCCGTTGATACCACCGGTAAAGGCAGTTCCTCCAGCGAAACCGAAAAGGACTTACGAACATCAAGTTCTATCTCCATCCAGTACGTGTATTTATCTTTTTGACTAACTTAATAGCTGAAGAGCATTCAGTTTGTTCTCAAGTATCATTAATTATTTCTCCATTGTAAACTGTATCTTGTTTCTCAGATTTATAAATATTTGTCGTACCTTTGATGCGGAGTCATTCATGTGCTCGTTTTTCTACATTTGTTATTGTTTTTTTCATCTGTTACGCGCTATTTTTAGGTTATGAAAACTTATTGGTCGAAGGTTTTTTGGTGGGAAAAGAGGAAGATTTGCCAACTCAGTCAGAGGTGACTTCCTTCTGGTTATCTATAAAACAATTTGATTTTTACTTTCTTTTTACATTTTAACTTAAAGGCTAATCTGTGTGCATTTTTATTAGAAGTATTTCACTGCTATTTTTTACAACCTACTGTTTAACCTAATCGTCTTTAAAGAAATGGGTTGTATCGCTTTTTTCGTTTTATATATATATATATATTTTTTTTTTTGCAATTGTTTGCGAAGGCATTTGTGATGTTATAGCTCCTCACTTTAAAGACTCATTTCAATCGTAAAAGGACTGTTGTAGAAGTAAGGCTGAGAAAATTTATGTATTACTGAAATTGTTTTGATACTCCGCAAAAAGTTTTGATTAAGCGCTTTTGAGTTCTGCACTCTTTTTCAATTACCTGTATAATAATTATTGTTTTTGCTAGTTCTAAGCAAATCTGTGCGGGTTATTTTATCTCATTTTGCTTTTTAGTTTCTGAAAGCGACATTGCATCACTCTTATTTTCTGCAAGCGCTTTAAATTTGACTGTTTTTATCAGATGTAGTTGTCATTCAACTTTAATTACTGCAGCATTTACATATAAAGAAGTAATCAGCGACATAAAGCTAAGTTTCCAATTTATGAGTTTTGATTATGGATAACAACAGTCTTTTTAACGACTGTCGAGCTTCCTCCCATTCCTGGTCCACCTGGTCCCATTCCTGGTCCACCTGGTCCCATTCCTGCTCCCATTCCTGCTCCCATTCCTGCTCCCATTCCTGGTCCACCTGGTCCCATTCCTGGTCTCATTCCTGCTCCCATTCCTGGTCCCATTCCTGCTCCCATTCCTGCTCCCATTCCTGGTCCGCCTGGTCCCATTCCTAGTCCTCCTGATCCCATTCCTCCGTGATAATGGCTCCAGCCACCTCTATAGTAAGGTCTCGGTCCTAGCCCATAATATGAGTAGCTATGCTGTGAATATGACGTGTACTGCGGAGATCGAATTGCTCTATAAAAATGTAAAAACAGCTGTTTTTTTTTTGAAGCAATAACGTGAATAATTTGTATAATTTTAAACCAAGCATTACAGTTTGGTAGCGGTAAAAAATGTGGATTTAGTGGCAAGGGGAAGGTGTTATATGGCAAAAATTGACAAAAGTTAACGTCTAGTAGTGGTGGAATATTTTTGACAATGAGTACTTAATTGTAATATCAAAGCACAGTCATCAAACTGCTAAAATTGTTGTTTTACCAAAAACTAATTTAAAGAAAAGTTTCTTACCGCATTTGTACAAAATCATCTGACTTGGCGAAGTTAAGGCTAATGAGAACCAGCAGGGCGACGAGAAGTTTCATGTTGCTGAGACGATGAAATGTTTGGTTTTCCGTTACATTCTCTCGCTTTATATGGCAACTGAAATGAGCAAAAGTTCATGTAGCAAAATTAATTACCCAACCGTGATTGTTGCAAGTGCAGTTAGACAAATTGAAATTAGGCGGAGCAACGGTTTTTACGTAAGATGACTTCTGATTGTTGCCCGCGGGCTTCTTGTGCTGGTTAACTTCTTCTGATGTCACCTTTGAGATTTTGAACAATTTATTAAACTTTTTTTTTCTGTTAAGATCTGTCATGAATCACCATTGTAAGTTAAGTTAAACTTTTTTCTCATCTTTCTAGAAACATAAACAAAATTTTCTGTGTTCTACTACTTTATGATACAAAAATTTATTGACGATTAACTGCTTAATAATTGTTCAGTAATTGGAAGCTTTGACGCTGCTGGTTGTCAAGATTCTTATAAAAATTAACTATTTTTGCTATTAAAAAACTAGTTGAGTATTTTTACTCATTTGTCTCTTGCTCTATGAAATTATGATAGGTGTTATTTTGAGGGCGTATTTTTAATCAATAGTCGGGCAAATCTTGAACCTGTTGTGGTTCACTTTGTACTCTTTAACTAATTCAAAATACGTAACAAATAGCTTGTTCGCAGCTTACAATTTAGTTTATCCCGAAGTTTTTTTGGATATAATTCATTTATTTTATAAGGTTTCTAATACAGTATTTTCTTGAGCGACTGTTTGAAGGTATAACTGGACTGCTAGTTTTGTATGGGAAATCTTTTAAATGAAGAAAAGTAATTTGAAGTTTTGGGACACTTGTCGGATGAGGTTGAAGGTCATTTATTAGTTAGAGTTAAACTTATCTATGGGCATCTATGATTGATGAGTTTGTAAAGGGAACGTTATTGCAGTTCATTCGGTTCTGTTATACAGTCTACTAAATCATACATTTTCATTCTGTAGTTTCATGTACAAAATTTCAGTTTTTTCAGTTTCTGGTTTTAAAAGTGATTAGATAAGGAGAAGAAAATGAAGTCATATAGTTTGTTTCAAGAAGTAAGTACGGCTGATGGAAAAAATCGTTAAAAACAGTAAATTAAGTTTTTAAAGCCAATTGAGTGGAAAAATCTATAAGAATTTTTTATTGGTTTAACTGTTCAATTTAAACATGCTACTAATTAAAGGAAGTAGAACAAAAAATCCTCTGTTTTGGCTACTATATTTTTTGCAGTGAAAAAATCACATTCTTGGAACTTTTTCAGTGGTAACCACGTATTTTTGTGCTTACTGATTTTCTTTGTTTGATACTTTGACTTTTCATTGCTTTACTTCGTTCCTCTACTTTTAGAACTGATGAATTTGAAAACATCGGAGTAAAATGAAAAGTAAAGTGGCGAGAAAGACAATAAGGAGTCTATAAGTTTTTGGTGCTTTTTACGTTTAGTGTTGTTTTTTGCTTTTGTGCTGATACAGTACGTCTATAGTTTTATGCTGGAACCAAATTTGTTTAGTCAGTTTAGCAAAACGAAGGCACCCAGTAGTATTAATACACGGTGAACCTCGCCAACAGGTTCTATTCCTTTCTATTTGCTGAATTCTGACACAGCATTTGAAATTTTTTTGTAGTTTCTCCTGTTTCTTTCCTTTTTTCTTTTACTTTTTTCTTTTTGCTCAAATTACAGTTTTTTGTTGCTTTATTTTAAATTACTGAGTAAACTTAGCAAAGCTCTTTTTTTGAATCTTTGCTTTTTAGTAGTTTTTTGAATTAAAACCGAATTTCTACCTTTTATAATAGACCATTTTGGATAGACTGCTCGAATACACTATTCAGATTGTAACGGACACAGAATTGGTGCACTTTATCAGTTCTTCAGTTCTGTTTTACCATAGTCTTCTGATATATACAGGTTGGAATTAAAGCAATTCAGATGACTTAGTGTAGCCAACGTTTGATAATGACTATTATTAATTGTATTTTTTTGGAACTGCATTTTTTCATTTGAAATTATTGACGGATGTATATTTTCATTTGGGTTTTGGTGTTGACTTCAGTTTTCTAGTTATTGCTCTACTGTTCTACGGATCTTTTAGTCACTGTATCAAAATTTCATACTTTAACTTTTATTTGTCGACATTATCTTAATAAAAAGAATTTTTAATAAGTTGTCCTGGCTAGTTTTTCTTCTGTTGTTGGTGTTTTTAAGGATTCACAATAGAATAATTTTTTTTAGCCGCATACCTGCATTGTGGAAGATTCGAAAAATGCAAGTTTACTGCTGCAACGTACGTCAATTGGTATTGTGTCACCAGAAGATTCTATTGTAAGTTATTTTTGCATCTGTACGGTTTTTTCTAGTAACTTATTGAAAAAATTTTATCACATAGTCGTTATTGATGAGTCTGTTAAAATTTTTGTTAGATTACACAAACAGTGTTGCGTAGAAATGACATTATCGAGCACCAAATTAGCTGCAAACGTAAAATACTTTGGTATTGTGCAGAACGACAAAAGATTTGTTCTGTGGGATTAGACTTGGCTTTAGATTTCTCAGTATTGAAACAGTAATCATTATATTTCAGTCTTGAACGTTCTTTTTCATTCCTTGTTTTTAAATTTTTGGTTTAGTAAAAAATGAATGTTGCTTCAACAGTTCAATTTGGAACAGTTTAATTTTAGCACCTCCTATTATAATTACTTGTTAATTTAAAAATGCTTTGAAGAATTTTCTAAAGTACAAGATTAGTTTTGAATAGCTTTGTTACTTCAGTTAAATATCTACCATTTTGCATATTAAACTGTTTGAAGAATTGCAGAAGTATATCAGCACAGGCAACGGTTAAGCATTCTGATATTTGGTGTAGTCAACCGGTTTTCATTAGGTAAAATGTGTCAGTGTTAAAAGCTGATTGCTTCCAGCTTAGGTTTTTAAATCTACATTTAGATCTATAATCTAAAAAAACTATTAAATACTATGTTTTTTGTTCGAACTTCAAACAGGTTAGATTTCTTAGTTACTGATTTTGAGTTGAATGAAACTAATCCTCTTACACAGTTTATATAGTTCTTGATTTGCTCAGCTTATTTCCTCTCTACTGTTTTGTAGTTAGTCGCAACGTTAAATTTTTCTGTTCACTTTTTTGTTTCAATTATTATATATAACGTTGCCACACCGGTCGTCGTTTCTTATTCATTTCCACTTCAATAATATAAGCAGTTATTTTACACAGTGTTTACAGCATCGAATTGTTCTGCTGATGACCTCTTTTTTCTTTTGCTTTGTAATTGTGCTTTTATTTTTGTCTCGAGGGTCTTTTGTTTGACGTGAAAAATCAAAACGTTGAAGAGGTAAATGGGATGGAAGTGTTGTTTATCAAAGGCTGAGATGTTTATCCTTTAAAGTTCTGTTGATTGAAAAAATAAGGATGGGTAGTGACAAAGAAAAAAGCCATGTCGATGTAGCTTTATTTTTGAATTTTTTTCTATTCCGCTGTCATACTGAAGCCAAAAAAGCGCAGTTTGCCAGAGTTATGTCTGGATGGACGAATGCTCATTGGCAAACTATTTATGCATTTTACGTTGGCTTTGTGCAACAAAATGTCAACAGTAAACCGCAAACTACCGGTTAACACTATTTTGTGGAAGTAGATCAGCTCAAAATAATCACGAATTTTCTTTTATATCTTATTGCTGGCTGAATTTTTAGCCTATTCAATTAGTTAAGTTATTTATTTATTTATTTTTTTTTTTTATAGTTTTATAAAACTGTCTTTTTTGTTGACCACATACCTAAAGATTGCTTACAGCTGCTTGGTCTTTTTTTGCGAACATTAAAAGTGGTGTTTTTGTTGCCTAAAGCGTTGGCTATTACTTATGCCGTTCGTTCAACAAATGAAATTAGTGTGCGACAAATACATCAAGAGTTTGATACTGTCAACTTAAGCTATAATAGATGTGGTTTGAGTGTAACAAAATTAAGGTGATTTCATTTGTTTTTGTCGGTTGTTAAACGGTTGAGCATCTGTTGCTGTATCGTAACTGTTATAAACAGAGTAAGATTCTATCATTGATGTTGTCAAAGAGGGTAAAAGAGTGGTAAAATGTAGTTTAATAGCTTGATCAATAGCGGTTGATGCTGGTGATGGTACCGGTGCTATTTTTGGCTTTCTTACTGAACGTTTTCAAAAAGTTTTTGAGTGAACTAAGCATACAATTCCACAAAATATTACAGTCTCTCAAAAATCATTTACAATACGTATTATATATGTTTGCTAATCGTAGTCGATTTCTGCCTCGCGCTTTGTAATGAATTTTTTTAGAATAGTACATTTTTAAATTTTGTTTGGCATTCGCTTCTGTGCATTTAATGGAAGCAAAATTTTTGCTTTATTCAGTTATTCGTTGGTTTTCGTTTAAATTGTATTTCCTTTAAATACTGTTGCTAGAGAACAGATGCAAACGTTCCTACCTATTTTACTTTACTGGAACATCAAATAATTTAAACCGGTTTTTTTTTATTATTCTGCATTTCATGGTCTTAACTTTTTTTTTTTAATGATAGATAGTGAGTTGCAAAAAAAAAAACGAGGATTATCTATACAAGAATTATTGCTTTTGGCAGTTTAGTTTACTAATCTACATTTTTAGGTAACTTTTATGATGGTTGTCTGACTCTTTTTCTTCGCTTTTTATTTTTTGAAACCTTCAGTTCCATTATTTACTGTATCTTTAATGCGTAATTTGTTTGTTTCTTGCAAAATCACTGGTGATTTTCGCAAATTTAATGTTATAGGAATTGTAATGCAATCTTTTAGTCCAAAATTTTGAAGATTGCGAGGAAACACTAAATAAACTGTGAAAAAAGCATTCGTCAAATAGTTGGGCTTATGTGTAAAAAAACCTTGTTATTTTTTGTTCTTTTTTATTTACCTTTTTATTGAGACGAATAACTATTTAGAAGCAAAAAAGTTTATTTTATTTTTTGTTCGTACGCCACTGATTTTGGCAATTCTGG